GTTTTGAGATCTAGCACTGTCAGATATCGCCCGACAAGCCCCGAACTTGTCGCAGACTTGTCTGAATAGACCGCACACTAGCCAACAAATGAAGATTTTTTGTCGGCCGACAAAAAATCAGTTAGTGTGCGGGGGCCGTTAATTGCAGCATCGGCAAGAGTCAGGACTTCACTAGGGCAACCTGTTTTATTGCCAAGTCACAGAGAATGTGATAGCACAGTCACTTAAATTATTAATTTCAAGAGGTTTTGTTTTAATTTTTTCTCTCTATACAAAATTTTTCTCCAAAAAAATAAAACCTAAGGATATTTTAGTTAAAATATCCAATTTCGTTCTGTATGCTCAAGTGTTTATTGTTCAGTGGGATTTTATGGTGGCACATTTTCCACGCACTTGCATTGACAACTGACCGTTCAAATGTAAACAGAGTTTGATTGTAAATATGAGTTTGACTATTTTAAGCATGTGGAACATAACCGACGGAGACCAATCTCTACCTTAGTTAGGTGACAATTACTGTAATAAAGGATACTGAAGTGCCACCATTCAGCAAATTAATTAAGCTCATGACAGCTGGATCGATCTCACACGCATGATAAGATAACGTTGTTTAAGCTAATTATGTGGATCAGTATTAATTTCAATTTAACTTCCTTGTGGAAATATTCAAATAGTCGATTTCAGAACAGAGACGACCTCTTCAACAGCTTTCTTCCGAAACAGGAATAATTGACAACCTGTGTGTACTTGTGTGTACTACACGAAGCAGTTCTGTTTAACCTACTTGAAACGAACGCTTACCTCTTGTAAGAACCTAATCGATCCTTGAACATCACTGCCAGCTAAGTAACAGACTGCTCGAGCCATAGTTGGCAAGCATCAGAGGTATTTGTAAAATATATATTATAAGTTCAGCTTCAGTCAAGACCGCAAAAACAACAACTTCCAACTTTAACGTCTCGAACGCGCGCGAAAGACAAACGCACCGCTGACACAAAGAACTGCCCCTCCCCCGAAGGTATAGCCACTCCATTCCACGTACATTCGAGCCATTACTATTAGCCTCCTTGGCAGAAATTAATCTTTCTCTTGGGACTCTGGGAAAAAGTGTGTGGTCCGTGAGCCAAGAGTCTCGGCGATGGTCACCAACATTATCGGCGGGGGTGGGTGGGAAAGACAGGGGGGTGGGACTCCGGGAGTATACGGGGCGAGAGAGGAAAGGGCGGGAAGCAGGAGTTCTAAGAGGGCGGGAACCTTGAGAGAAATGCAAAATACTAATTTCTGTCATTTAATAAACGCTTAAATACTTTCAGAAACAGGAACCCCAATTTTTTTTTTACTTCCACTTTAATAGCATATTTTGAGACTTCTGGGCGAAAACTCGCCCTTAAAAACTGAGGCTTACTTCCAGTAAAATTGAAACCACAAGGTCGGGAGTCGGGAATGCAGGTGCAGGAGTTCTGACCCCCTGTTTCCCCCCCCCCCACCCCCGCCAAACAACAACATTGCTTGCAGGGGTGTTTAGTACCAAATCAAAACGTGAGGGGCATGTGGAAATGGGTTTTAGAAGGTATGATGTATGCAGTTGCTTGGAAGGGGAGAAGGGGTTTCGTCTGGCTTCAACAGCAGATTTAATGCAGTCAGTTGTGCTCATTTTCCCAGATACCACATGACTAAATGTTTGGAACAACTGTATGGAAATTTCCTGGGAAGTCTGGAGATTTGTTGAAAACATTCAACTGAAAATTCTGGAAATTCCAGTAGAAAAATCAAATAGAATCAAAATTTCTGGTGAGAAATTTCCAAAAATTTGGGTAAACAAGATTGGTTAGTCCTCCTTTCTGGAAATTCCAGAAAATGCTGTTCCATTCATCCCTGGAAAGTTCAGAAAATTCTGACCAGAATTTCTCATCATCATTATTAGCCTGTCCCATGCCAGGCATTTGGTTAGTTGAGGGGCAGTGCAAATACAATGGAAGAAAAAAAGGCAGGTATTGAGAGAAATGAGTTGTACTCCTCACTTATTTTTTCTCTTCCTTTTTTTTCTTTTCTTTTCTCATTTTAGCACTGTGTCTGCCCCCAACTAACCAACCACCTGGAACAAGTTAATAATTATTGGTCTTACGGTTACAGACTGAGGTACTATAATAAGCAGACTGTATATAAGAAAGAGCGTGGATTGTGTGTCAAAGCAGTTTCTTTAAACACAGGCAGAAAAGCCACTTGTGTAAGCTTCAGGCCATTATTTAAAAACAGGCCAACTTTGCTTCAAAGGACAGAGGATATCACTTTACATGATCTTTCAGTGTTCATATCAGCCCTTAGTATCCATTACTCAAACCATAGTTTGCAAGTCACATCAGCTTTAAAATTAACCTAGCATAAAACTGTTGAATGATGGAAATTTATGAGAACCTTGTAAGAGATATTTTTACCAGGAAAAAACAACCCCTCAGGAACCATGGAGAGGGAAGGGCTGGTGGAGCTATTAATAGCTTGGGTTGACACTTCGGTGGTCTAGATGACAAGGATAATGTATGAATTTTGCAACAAGAAAGCAACAAAATGGCAAAAAAGTGACCCCTAAGAATGCTTGTTTGTCCTGGCCAGATTTTTTAGCCCTACCAATTTTTGGTCTCTTCAATCCCTACCCTAGTCTGTGAACACAGATGTATTTCCAGCTGTCACTTGTCTCTGCCAAAAAAAACAGCATTATTTTTAGTGGAAACAAGCAACAGCCAGAAATTAAATACCTCTGCGTTCGCAGGCTATCCATGCCCCTAAATAGAAATAATTTGCAACTGGCACCCGTTTTAAGAAGCTCAATGTGGCGTAGAAATTTTTGTAGAGCTCTACAACTCTACGCTTTCGTCACCAGTCTCCTCCTACATGTTGGAAAGATACATTACCTCTCCTACTTCATAGCTTTTACCGTAGTTCTGTATTGTTACTATGGTTACCTGCCTATTTTGTAACATTTGATTTCAATTTGCAGCATATTCCTCACATATATCTCATATATATTAAAATGCTATTAAAGTGTCATTACGGTTTACAGTGTTTTAATCGTTTCCAATTTAAAATTTTGTATTGAGTTTACCCTCTACCATCTATGCTCTACGCTC